ATGGAAAACGTTTGCCATTCAAAGGATTTTTTTAAAGAATTTTACGTGCCGGCCTCTATCAATGCCTCTCTTTGAGCTAAGATATAATTCTACCAGTAGTGAAAGGGACCTCTTAAGCCGTTGGTTTATTGTGGAATTTTAGTCAATTAACTTACGAGGAAGCTCCCCAGGGAATTTTATTCATCATATCCCCCTTCAAGTTGATGAGATCCATTCCATAATACGGCATAATTGCCCAGGAGGAGGTATCATAGGAACTTTTGTTAGGGATATTATGATAGGAATTTTTATAAGGGAATCCGATGTGCCGCTGGGACCCCAGCACCCTTAGCTTATACCAGACCGTAGTTCAGTTGAATTTTGCTTCCTTATACTAGGCTAAACTCTCCCTATCTTAGAGTCGCTATTTTCCAGAAATTATAGTGGTCCATGCTTTCTTTGCTATTAAACTGAGTTGCGGGTAAATTTAGATTTTGCCGATATTATTTATTTTCTTTTGAGTGTAAATTCCCGGTTTCCTTAGTCAACCAATTGATCATTTTTCTGGAAAATTATACCTGCGGGGCCTAAACGGTCCCTGTCATGCTACTTTAACAGCTTTTTAACAGCTTTCGACGATTCGAGAAATTCCGCACCCACCTTGCGAGATACATCCACGGAGTTGCCGGCATTTGCATACATTGTAAGGTCAACAGCTTTTATCTTTCCGGTCGACGTAAATGCAACCTTAAAAGACAAAATCGTCTGTCAGGGACAGTTCAAATGAAAGTCACCGATCAGTACTTTCCTGTGATATTGTTTATTACGCTGTGCAAGGTGCGTGGTTCTAAAGCTATAGTAAAATGGGCAAGAAAAACGTGCAATTTGTTTTTGAACATTGCTACAAAAAGAATTGAAGAACTATGTTTATTGTGCGTTCACCATACAATGTAGTTTCTTCACTTGCTGCAAAACAAATTGCACGCTTTTTCGTCTGTTTATCGCTCATTGACTTTTTAGTTTCTGGGTGAGATCCTAAGGTGTGATCACTCAAATGAAAACTATCCAGCAGTGTGTACTTTCCTGTGATGCTGTTCATTACGCTGTACAAGGTGTTTCTAACTTTTGAGTCTGTGCATGAATTCCTAAAGTGTGACCATTCAAAGGAAAGCTAGTGAGCAGTACTTTTACAAGGTGCTGTTTATTATGCTGAAAAAAGTGGACCAAAGTTTAGTTTGTTTCTGTAAATGAAACCCGGATTTGTGACCATTCAAATAAAAGTTACCAAGTAGTACTTTGCTGTGATTTTGTTATTATGCTGTGCAAGGTGGTTCTTATTATGGTGTCTGTGGATGAAATCCTTTAGGCCGGGACTGTTCAAATGAAGTCGACTTACAAGTACTTTTCTTTCCCTACGTACAGTATGGTAGTTTTATCTAATTGTACGTATAACAAAGCCCCTGAGTTGGTTAGCGTAGTAGTGTAGTGTGCTGTTGTGTCTTAACATTATTTAAGCGTAATGTTTAATGAGTGACTTTACATCTAATAAAGACATGTCTAAACTTTACATCAAATTTTTTAGACCAAAATAACTCCAAACATAAATATTAGTGCAAGAATGAGTTGATTTATATCAGAGATTTTGAAGCCCTTTAAAAAACTCGCAGGAGTGAATTATCAGGTGTAAAAACTCTTGTATTCGCCTCGAATTTTTAAACCTAATAATACACTCCTGCTCGTTTTTTTAAAAAGTATGAAACAAACCATGAACAAATAAGCAGTATTTTAAATGAAAAGTAATTACTTGCTTTTACTGCATAGAGTCAACAAATAAAACTATATTTCTGATTTCTTACTTAACCATACCCCGGCGAGAGAACCATGGATAGGCCATGTTCAATCATGGTTTTACCATGGTTGAACACAGTTTCCAAACATGGTCTACCATGGTTTAGCAGTAATATAACTATGGTCTGACCATGGTCAATAACCTTATATTTGACCAGGAACGGATGTCTTGTGCCTGTACTCAACATATCTTCATCTCTATCGAGCATGCATCGCACAGGTTTACCAGTCCTAGAAGTGGAATACCAGAAAACCATGGTCAGGAAAACAAAAAAAAATAAATATTGGAGTCAACTTCAACATTTTTTTAAGGAAATGAACGTTTCACAATAGACTAGCCCGTATGTAGCAGTTGCTAATCTAGGTGGGCCAGGTTTATCATGGGAAAGGAAAGAAGATTTTAAATTGATTATGGCTGGTACAGTCAATCCTTACACAAGACACATTTTTGGGCACTTTGACTCTTCGCCCAACTCAATCAGCGGGCATCAACATGCACAGTGGACCAGTAGTGGACCACTCGCCTTAATTGGTCCCAAATGACCTTTGATAAGATAACTTACCGCGCAGGACCAAGGCCGCTGCCTAAAGACCCTGAACCTAAATACCTTGTTAATCCCTTACTTTGCTGCAGCTACAGCTACTGCGTTTGTCAGGAAACAATGCCTTGATTCTTTTCCACCAAAGGCACCACCTGAAATGAAGAGCATATTAAACAGGCGTACTTATTTACCGCGATTCTCATCTCCTCCTCACCACCAACATTTTGTTCAGTCAGTCATGTATTAAAAAAGAAAGAATTGCATGCTTTTAAAACCTCACGTGCTAAAAAAATCCATGTAGCACGTGCGAGAAAGGAGTCAAATCTCGAACGGAAAGTAAAGGGCCAGTGTCATTCTACTAAGACTGACAAGTGAGTCTACGTCACAGTCGGTTTACCTTAGTTAATACCCTTTAAGAAAGGTCAGGGCTATAAGGGCTAAAGGTTGGGTAAGGGTTTTGTGCTAAAAACTCACCGATTCTTTTGGTACGCACCACAATTCGATTAAACGGAACACCAAGAGCCTTCGCAGCCATTTCCTAAGCGAAGGCAAGAAGTTGAAAGAGTAGCGTTGTTAAAAGGATAATTGACTTACCATGGAGTGATAGATTCGGTTACTAATATTAGAAAATAACTATTACTACTTCCACTACCACTATTACTATACGGCTATGACTTCCGCTAACAGTGTTGTTTTACCGCTGACCTTATTTCTAAGGTTACTTACTGCTGCTGCAACTACTGCTCCTCTTCTAATGCTACTGATTCTACTGCTGACACTACTACTACTACTAGTCTACTACTGCTACCACTACCACTAACCATTATACCACTACCAACACGACGACGACGCCCACTACTACTACTACTGCTACTGCTACTGCTACTATTGCTGCCGCTACTGCTGCTACTGCCGGCTGACTACTACTACACCTACTACTGCTGCTATCAGGTAAAGGACGTTTAATTCTAACAAGAGAATCCAGCCTTAGCTTTGAAGCAAATATCGTTGGAAATTAAACCGACACCAAGACTTTGCTGCAGACCCGCGTTCCAGGCTTAAAAAGAAAATTATTTCTCTAACGTTTCGCTTTTTGCTTTGCCTTTCTTTTTTGAACGTTTGTGAGGTTGCACCTTTTTTCAGTCCAATCATTGATTTGATGAAATAATCATTGTTTTTTGGGCGCTTTTTTTAATTTCCAGCTGATTGATTCAACCTCTTTCCCAGGGTTCAGGTTAGGGCTGCACTTTTCTCAGTCCAATCCGATTTCATGAAGGAATTGTTGCTTTTTCGGCGTTTGTATTTCAAGCTGATTTTATTTTTTCATATTCTTTCCCATATTTCTAAAGACAACCCTGGAAACGAGGCAGCTAATTTTACTTATCATAACCTCGTTTTTGATTCTACGCTCTCCCAGCCTGCTTTTACGTTACAATTTTCTCGGGAAAGGGCTATTAATTAGCAATTTAGCACCGTAGGTACCTGTGTTAGTTTTGGATTTTGAGTGGAAACAAACAGTTCCATTTCGCCATCTTCTCCTTTCGGGACTGCTATTGTGACCTGCGTCTCCAGATAAAAGTGTTCCTAAACAAGTTACACGCAAATGTTAGCACAACATTATAGAGGATTCTCCTTAGAGTGACTTAAACACAAATCATTGGCTCCTACATAAAGTTGGAATGGAAAGGATCTAAAAAGAGGAGAAATTATGAATGACAAAACAGCAGCCCGAGAACAAATCTGTAAAAGCTCGTCATCAATTAGCAAGATATTTAATATACAATCTCTTCTGTTCGTCTCGATAGTCAGCCGCTCTACAACTGGGCAAGACAGCTTCACTCCTGCTGTACCTTTTATATGGAACTTGTTGCCATTTACAATAAGAACAAGTATCAGCCATGTCTTTTTTAAAACAATAAAAACAATTTAAAAAGACAACTGAAAACTTTTCTCACTATAAGAAACGTCTTCCTAGTAAACCGGACATGCAATCTGTCAACGTTCATAGTTTCGATAATGTGAAGGAAAGCGGGCAAAAGGGAAGACTATTGCCACCAGAAAAGAGACGACCACGTGAGTCGTGGTGCGTCATTTTGATCTCAGGACACACACTACCACCACCAAATCATAACATAATGTCACAATACATGATAACTGTGATAATTAGAACAGTAAAACCTCTTTTTTTAGAAGCTGGCACTGAATGGCCTTAAAGCTATAAAACTAGTAGCCTGTGTAGCAGGCGCTTGGAGGTAGTATAGGCGCAAGAAAAACGGAACGTCCGAGGGAGACACGCGAGAAAAGAGGACGCCACTGCCCAAGAGGCCCATGAAGTTTTTTCCCCTCTTCCTGAGAGTATGGAAAATTTCAATTGGTTGAGAGGCCCCCTCCCCTTGCGCCAACCGTTCTTCAGCTCTCGGGCTCATTTTACTTTCAACCGCCGGCTACGTAGGCTAAAAAACCAAGTGGCTTTCATACTCAGTTGCACTTCGATCCCAGTGATACTATCTTGGTTTACCTGTCCTCCAATTTTCATTTCGCCTTCTAGTAGGTGATCAGATTCAGCAAATCCTCTCTCCACGTCTCCATTTTCTACACAAAGTGGACCAAGGTCATAGAAAGATTCAGTAGCTATGGCTTCCTGCAAAATATGAAACCAAGATTATACGTCTCTGGGAAACTGCCCACCTATCCCTTCCCCGAAGTTAAAATTTTGCGCCAAGTGAGGAGTAAGTGTTGATGTTGGCTTAGGGTTCCTTTTGTGATCTGCGTGACCTTAAAATTTCTCTCCTTTTGCGTGACATGGCATTTACGGGACGACCAGGAGAGCTGTCATGTTTACGAGTTCAGAGTTGTGAGTTGTGGTAGACATCACTCTGACGCCCTTGTGATGCCTCGCTTCATTTTTAGAACAACTCATCCTGTTTCTATTCCGACAACCCTGCGTTCCGTCCTTTTGGTCAACGAAATAAAGCTTGCTCTTATCGCTAAGTCGTAACATATTTCAAAACAGAACCTGAAATTCAAAACACGTTTCAAGTCTAGACAGGAGCTCGAGTGAGTCATGGTTAACGGTATCAAAAGCTGATTACAAACCGAAAGAACAATTACTACGCGCTGTCACTCCTTCAAGAGAGCATTCTGTCGTTATGAACCTTCATTTGTGCTGTCTCGGTACTGTGGCAGGACTTTTATGCAGATTGAAAAGGCGGGTGCAAATCATTGCAAACCAGATAGTGATTAAGCTAAGCAGCAACAGCTTTTTCAGTGAGTTCGGAAACATATTTGAGATTGGACACTGGACGAAAGTAAGAAAAAAAACCTCAGTGATAGGAAAGACATTACAAAGAAACAGTTCTCTGAGAAACAACTACGTGGTCTGAAATGGAAGAACAAACCATACAAGCTTAAAAGGTTTATACATATGTGCATAAGTATAATTTCAAGAAAAAAATTTGATATATTATATTACCTCTATGGTTAATATTCTCAGTAGTTCTTCGTATGATATCTTGACCATCTTTGCTGCTCTTTGAGCCTGGGCTTGAGTCTTGGCTACTACTGCACCAATCACCTGTCCTACACAGGTCACCTGATCAAGCAAACACAGCTTAATTGTACACAGCTGATGACCCACCCGCTTCTTATGTTGTTCTTAAGTAAAACGCTTGCTCACAAGCTGGGATCCGTCAAGTTTTATTCGACTTGATTCTTCATTTTGGCGTATTTTTTTCTTAGGCCATGAACCACGAATTAAAATTGTTTTTTTCGGCCCGTTCCTTTTTTTATTTGGTAGTGTGTTTACCTCTCCCAAGATGGCGGGAGGATATACTAGTTTCTAGTCTAATTCAAAAAGGTAATTGGGGGAGGGGGCAAACTCAAAGAAACGTTCATGCAAGGAATAGATTAGGTGGAAATTAATCCATTCCTATTAAGTAGCCCAGAAAAAATATTCTTGCATTGGCAATATTGTCTACAGCGTCAAAGGAAATATTCGTACACGAAATTTCGATGAAAAAAAATTGAGGTAAGAAAATATTAGTGATAAACCCCTCCCCACCTTTCAAAATAAATTTCTACCCCCACCCTATATTGAAAGTGTACCAGGTGTCTATCCTATACCGAAATAGTTGTCATCAATACCGACCTGCACTGTTCAGATGTTTTGATGTGTGATGTGCTGACCCTAAATAAACAAGCCACTGGCTTCGAGAAAGACAACCTGTCACCTAGAAGATCTCTTTGAGAAAAAAAAATGGCTACCTTATCTGTCGCAAAAATTTCCTCATCTAGAACATGATACCCGGTTTTATTGTCTCCCGGTACATCATCCGAGCTTACGTAAGCTTTGACACCGGGAAGGGATAACGCCTCACTTGGGTCCACAGAGCTGCAGAATTAAATCCGAGAGACATGTAGGAAATTAGCTAGCCATGTTTACTTTATGCGTAGAAAGGCTAATCTTGGCTAAATTGCTTTGACTACCAAGGACAAATGCGCTGTTATATATAGTGATATGGGCATCCCCATTCCCAAAACCCTAATGACATTAGACTACGAATAGTCCCCACTTTTTCCCTGGGATAGTAGAATAAGCAAAACGCGAGCGCGCGTGAAAATCACCCCACGCGAGAAAGGCGAGACAAGGCGGGGAGAGAGAAAAATCCCAGAGGAAAAATGGGGACTACTCGTAGTCTGTAATGATATGGGCATCTCCCTCTCTATACCTTAGCGAATTGGGTTAGGGTTAGGGTAAGGGTTACAGGGCATGCAAATATCACTAGGGTTTTGATAATGGGGATGCCCAAAGGGCGGAGATGCCCATATTATCGTGACAGCGCCACTCCAGAAAGTTGTTTGCAGAGACTTCTGGGTTCGTTAGTGTCGCACTGATCAGCTATTGGCCAAATTTTTATCCTATTCCCTGCAACCGTCCCAGAGGTCTTTGCGAAAGTTAACTCGCTCCAGTTTCCTTCTCCTTCTGTTAGGTGGTGAATGGAGGATTCCCCCAAGGAAGTACTCCAGATTTCAATTGACGGGATGATCGAATGGGGGTAAATATCAGAACCGAAAAACATCCATGCCGAATTTCCGACGCCAAGTTTAGTTGTATTGTATTCGGAGAACCGCAAGGCCATGAAACTTCAGATTGTTTTGAATACCCCAAGTATCCCTGCTTTAATCAATCCACCAAAAAACACTCGCCAAAAATTTTTCTACCAAAAATCTCAGAGACGAAAATTTCAAAACCAAAAAAATACTTCAATCATTCTCGTCACTTGAGAATTAGAGTACCCACCCCCAGGGGACGATTTCATATGTTTCAGGCANGAATAGTCCCCACTTTTTCCCTGGGATAGTAGAATAAGCAAAACGCGAGCGCGCGTGAAAATCACCCCACGCGAGAAAGGCGAGACAAGGCGGGGAGAGAGAAAAATCCCAGAGGAAAAATGGGGACTACTCGTAGTCTGTAATGATATGGGCATCTCCCTCTCTATACCTTAGCGAATTGGGTTAGGGTTAGGGTAAGGGTTACAGGGCATGCAAATATCACTAGGGTTTTGATAATGGGGATGCCCAAAGGGCGGAGATGCCCATATTATCGTGACAGCGCCACTCCAGAAAGTTGTTTGCAGAGACTTCTGGGTTCGTTAGTGTCGCACTGATCAGCTATTGGCCAAATTTTTATCCTATTCCCTGCAACCGTCCCAGAGGTCTTTGCGAAAGTTAACTCGCTCCAGTTTCCTTCTCCTTCTGTTAGGTGGTGAATGGAGGATTCCCCCAAGGAAGTACTCCAGATTTCAATTGACGGGATGATCGAATGGGGGTAAATATCAGAACCGAAAAACATCCATGCCGAATTTCCGACGCCAAGTTTAGTTGTATTGTATTCGGAGAACCGCAAGGCCATGAAACTTCAGATTGTTTTGAATACCCCAAGTATCCCTGCTTTAATCAATCCACCAAAAAACACTCGCCAAAAATTTTTCTACCAAAAATCTCAGAGACGAAAATTTCAAAACCAAAAAAATACTTCAATCATTCTCGTCACTTGAGAATTAGAGTACCCACCCCCAGGGGACGATTTCATATGTTTCAGGCAAAAAGTTTCGAAAATGTTCCAAGTCAGGATAACAAGAAACCGTGTAAAGTAAGCTAAAAGAAGGATGTATACTTACGTGATTTTGGCATGAGCGCGTTTGCTGAAAACAATGCCCATATACAGTTCATCTGCAAAAGTAAGAAGTAAATAATGAAATGCCATAATGACTGTACTGCTTGAACAAAATGCATATGCACGCCGTGATACAGGTCACTGTATTTGCAATTTTTATATGAGATCTGCAGTAAACCTTTCCAGCATTTTGCTCTCCAGTGAGAAAACAAACAATAAAAATAAATAAGGTCGAAGCTCGGGTGGACAATTTCATGAAATTAATGTATTCTGTCAACCCAAGCCTCCAGTTGGTGCCTTTGTTTACATGAATGCCGGATAGTCTATACTCAAAAGTTAAAAGCATACTTATATTTCAAACCCAGATTTCACTGGCATATATCTGTAGGAACATACTATTTGTAATGTGAGAAACTGGGTACGAGACTTATGCAACGACAGAGAGAATCCAACGGAGATACTATCTTATAAAACAATTGGCCATTATTTTCCCTTAACTTTAACCTACCTGCATACTTTGGTATATCGTCACAATAGATTGCCTCTCCTGTGGCTTGTTTAGCTGCAGATAAGTGAGGTATCGGCCTGCCGACCACATCCTCCGACGGCTGCTCACTGGGTACTTCCTGAACCAACCATGAACACACAAAGTATGTACGCATTACAAACCTATAAAATCTCGGCTAACAATAATGAGGTATCAAAAGTGTGGGTTCATCTGTTGAGTTTGCCCGCGCTTGAAATTGGTTTTAGGTTTGGTGTTCAAAAGTTGCTGGATTTTGTGTCAAGTGCTGATTAACCCACGAAGTTGTGACCGATTAAATTTTATGAGAATGTTTTCTTAGGCTACTACTAAACTTCTCCATTTTTAGCAAAAACAAAAAGATCCGGCAATCCCTAATACTTAAGACAAAAGTGACAGCCCATTAAGAAATGTAATAAGATACGTTCTTTCATTCGCAATGTACCTGAAACGTTTGTAAACTTTTAGAATCGTCTCTCTCAAACAGTTTCATTCCACTCCTAAAGCGTCTGGGAAAGAACTCTTCGTGAATAGTCTGCAATTCATAACAGACAAAGATAAGTTGACATAAGGGACGCTATAAGGGTTAATTTTACTGTTAGTTCACGACGTTGAATGAGAGGTTAAAATTTTTGTCGAAACGTTAGTTTTCTCCTCTCCTCAAAACCCCCTACATTTTCCGCAAATTCAAGTTCAAGATCGCTTGGTGGATGTGCCTCCGTTGAATCACTTTAAAGTTAAAGTTAATGTCATCTTTATTTATTATTCATGTATTTACTTAAAATCTAGAAGAAGAAAAAAGTTAAGGCAAGTTACCTTAGCTTGATTGCTAAGACATTCAGAAACGTTTAGGTAGAATTTGAAGAAGAAGCTGGTTGCAAGTGACTGCCTGAATTGTACTTGTCCTCCTGGAGCTCCTGGTGCCAGCGGAAGATCTTCGGCTAACAACTGACAAGCATCTGTGATTATATTCTCACTCCATTTGCTGAAATAACAAAAGTAAAATAACCCAATCATTACCGCNATGAGAATGTTTTCTTAGGCTACTACTAAACTTCTCCATTTTTAGCAAAAACAAAAAGATCCGGCAATCCCTAATACTTAAGACAAAAGTGACAGCCCATTAAGAAATGTAATAAGATACGTTCTTTCATTCGCAATGTACCTGAAACGTTTGTAAACTTTTAGAATCGTCTCTCTCAAACAGTTTCATTCCACTCCTAAAGCGTCTGGGAAAGAACTCTTCGTGAATAGTCTGCAATTCATAACAGACAAAGATAAGTTGACATAAGGGACGCTATAAGGGTTAATTTTACTGTTAGTTCACGACGTTGAATGAGAGGTTAAAATTTTTGTCGAAACGTTAGTTTTCTCCTCTCCTCAAAACCCCCTACATTTTCCGCAAATTCAAGTTCAAGATCGCTTGGTGGATGTGCCTCCGTTGAATCACTTTAAAGTTAAAGTTAATGTCATCTTTATTTATTATTCATGTATTTACTTAAAATCTAGAAGAAGAAAAAAGTTAAGGCAAGTTACCTTAGCTTGATTGCTAAGACATTCAGAAACGTTTAGGTAGAATTTGAAGAAGAAGCTGGTTGCAAGTGACTGCCTGAATTGTACTTGTCCTCCTGGAGCTCCTGGTGCCAGCGGAAGATCTTCGGCTAACAACTGACAAGCATCTGTGATTATATTCTCACTCCATTTGCTGAAATAACAAAAGTAAAATAACCCAATCATTACCGCTTCTACAGAGCATAAAGGACGTTTAAGCTACCTTCCAGGGAAGGGGCTATTTCATGAGGGTTTGTTTGTGATGGCCGTCATTCTTAAAGAAGAGAAGTGTAGTAGAAAGTACAATATACCAACCACTTGAGTGTGTTTGTTGATTTGAATTAAAACGAGCTTCCCTTTCATTCAAATAGACCTTATGCCTTACGGGAAAGCCGCAATTGCTCACTGAAAATTGACGGAATTTCACGACAGTCTTCACGTAACTTATATATCTTAGCCCAAGGGCGTAGCTATGAGGCGAAGGGCATAGAAAAGATAAAATAACCTAGCTATCGACAAGGGCGAAATGCAAACGCTTTCCTTTGTTCCAATAAATTTACATAGATGCTGGCATGTGAGTGAAATCGCTCTATTAATTAGAAAAAAACAACATCTAAGAAATGAATGCCGGATCCTAAAAACCTGTAGATAGACAAGTTTTAATTTTTTTGATTGTCCACTTTTGTCCTAAAAGAACTAAAACCGAGGTCCTACCGTCCATTGAGACCCTTGATAGTTTTCAGAGCCATAACTGTTGTAGGAGCCATTCCTCCAAAGCTAAAACTGCAGTCTTTGATCTTCCATGAAGAGACGTTCCCTTGCTTTTCTAGCAGTACCTTCATACCGGTGTTGACTATGGCAATGTCATCTTCCCGCCGACGAGCTTGTTTGAAGGCGAACACATATTCGTCCTTGAAGCAGAACAGAAGTGTCAATAACTGACTGAAGTGACATTTTAGATCGAGTAGAAGTGTCACGCAAACCACCCGGGTGGAAATCTTGCTCATCAACGTAAAACTAAAACATTTGATGTGGTGGGACACCACGCACTACCCTGAGTGCCAGAGACTTTTCTAGCGCGGTTTCCGGTTTCTGTCAAGTCTTTATAGTGACCCGCGCTTCGCCGCTGGTGGCTTTGGCTTAAGGCCGAAGATGTGTCGGCCTTAGGCCAACACCGAAAATTCCCGACGCACGCGAGAAAAACCTCTGTACCCAGGGAAACCACGCACCGAATTATATCGAAATCAGCTGAAAAGACTAAAAAGGACAGAAAAATTGCATCGCTGCAAATCGCAGCCCAAAGGTTCCCAAATGGAATGGTGCACACCTTTTGATTTTCCGACCGTAATTTTCCAGTTTTACCATGGAAATGGTAAGTATCGCATCTTACATACTACAAGTTGCATTTTGCCCATCTTCTCGTATCTGAAAAACTAATGATGAAAGGAACTGGCCAAGAATCGTTACCTTTTCTGTGAAAGGAATGAGGATGTTAACAAGAACTTCATTCGGCTCTAAAACAGTTTTTCTGTATCCTGTAAAAAAATTCTCATCCAGTCTGATTTCTCTGATTTTACCTTTGAAAGCAATGAAAAGACATGTAAAGAACATAATAAGTTTGTTTATCCTGTTTCTGACCCACTATACTTCTCAGGGGAAGGAAGCGTTTTTGACGTTAGTAGTGTTTCAGGGGATGCATTTCTATAGCAACGTATACTTAGACAAATGTGACCTGAGCAAGATCTCTGACATCGATGGAAGTTGTTCGTTTTTCTATCAGCGTTTGTCCTAATCATCCCGAGAAACCACCGAGCCGGAAGCCATCGAGCCTACCTAGCCGTGCTTACGAAGAGTAGCACATGGCTCTCCAACTTTTGAGCTGGGTGATAGACTAATTACCAGCCCTCGTAAAACTAAAAATTCAAACAGCTAGGACATGGCCAGACATTGCAGAAACGGGAAGCGTTGTGCACAAGATCAGACAGGAGCCAAAGAAAATACTTAAGAGAGGCCTGGAGATCAAAATGGACACAGCTGAAAAGGTTTCAAAAGTACAGGAAAGCAGTTAAGGAAGTGTGGAAAGAACTAGCCTCTGAAGGAATAAAATAGTGAAATGAGTCACATGAGGCAACTGGTGGGCGAGGAATAAACAACCGACTTCTGGTTAGTCGTTACTTATAAGAAAAAAGATAAAGATAACTAAGCTTTGGATCGATTTGGACGTAACAGGGTTGACATCAGCGATGGTTTCTTTGTATGTCTTGGTACAAGGGCTGACTCGTAAACTAAATCATGAAATAATGAAAGTGTGAATTTCATATAATTGTCGCAGTTAAAGACTCAACAGGCCTAGGCTTTCTTTACGCAGCTGCATAAATTGCGCCTTTAACTGCGAACATCGTCTTTTCATTAAAACTTCATTATTATCATATTCCTAATAACTCAAGGGGGTGGGCAACCCCATGAAAGAGGTATTCCCTCCCGGCCTAATACCTCCTGATGCCGCCAACAACAGTTTGCATCTTGCAGCCATAAACAGAGGATTGAGGTCTGATATCGGACTAGCAGTCATAATATTTCCCCCAATCGCCTAAAAGAATAATAGAACGAAGAACAAAATAAGGAATCTCTATCACTTAGGGGAAAGCTGACAGGAAACGTTTGGGGTTTGTTGAAAACAAATTTAACCACTTCGATATATCTCGTGTGTGCAATTCCTCGAGGTGGTCCGCCTTAAGATATGAAAGTTGATAACTGGGTTGCTTAGGAAAATCAGATTGTTGAGAGAATTTTGAGACATTCTTGCTTTCTTAATCATGCGAGGATAAACGTCAGTTAAAGCGTGGGAACGTGGTTAAACTGACTGCGAAGGTTGGCTTAGAGATCAAACCTCACCGCAATCGCTTCTTGCAAATGTACCTTCAATCGTGGACAAAGGACATTAAGACAGTGGTGCAGTACCCGTGATTAACTAGAGACCTTTAGATTCGAGGACGAGGACGACTACGAGTTCGAGATTTGATTTAAGGTGATTCCCTAGTAAAAGAACCTAACATAGATTGTATATGAAACTTGGTACACTGATGTAAAAAGTCAAGAAGATGATAAAAAAACTAATAAAAAGTGGGGGTCACCGTGCTGACGTTACAATGCTGGCAAATACGGCTATTTTGGACCTTTTGACAAAAACCGCGCGCAGCCCAAAACTAGACAAAAAGAAAAGATTTTTTCAATGATGCATGTGGTACCGCACAGAATTTGACTTTAATGTATTGTTTATCCACTTACGTACCATAAAAATGCCTTTTAATGCCCTTGTTTTTACGTCACGCTCCAAAGTAGAATTAAATTGGACACGCGCTATTCGACACGTGATAGCTCAATCCGTACAATTTAGTAAAATTTCCAAAAAACTGAACACAGATTTGGGCCAATTTTTTTCTCACCGAAAGGAAGCACTGTCCTTATTAAAACCATGAAATAAAAAATGGGGGTCACCGTACTCGTTTTTGCGGTAGAGCTGCAGAAAGTGCGCACCAAATGCATTTTGCTTGATTTTTGACAGAGGACTGGGGGGAGTTTTAAAATAGAATGTACGTGAAAGGGGGAAGAAAGTATTAAAAATCTGTTTTTACAGAATTTACATCTAGATATCACAATTAGGATACAATGTGATAAACAAAGCGTTTAAATGAAAATCAAAGTGAATAAGCAAAAATTAAACATCCTCTATCGAGGTTCTCCGTGAAGAAGTCGAACTCAGCAACACGTGTACTACTTACGTTATGCACATTCCCACCACACTGAGTGTCACCTCGGCAAGAAACAACCGCAAGCAAAAATTGCAATAGCGTTTCTCTCCGGTTAACTTCATTTTAATAATGTTACTTCACATGCTCTTTTTTACGAAGGCCATCTTGTTATGCGCAGTAAGAGATGCGC